TTTTTTTTTTTTTAATCAAATGGAGGTTTGTGTTTTAAAGCCCTGACTTTTTCTTTGCAGTTGCCCGTGTGAAGTATTGCAAGATTATTTGAATGTTTCTGGGACAAAGAGGACTGGTTGATTATCTCTCGTTCTCTGGTAAGCTAATTCTATTATTTTTGGTTACCTGTTGAAGGTGGATTCTACAGTTCTCATGGATTATTCTCTTAAATAAAGCATTTTCCAAGATACTAGACAAAACCCAGTATTTTAATTGAGTTTAATTTGCTTCTTCCTGCAAAAGAGGAAGAAGCGTTTGCAGTTTGTAGCAGAAGCATCTTGTGCTAGAGCCAGATTGTGTTCTTGACTGTGTGATTCCCCAGTTTTCTAACAGCTCTTTACAGAGCCTTTGGATTCCTAAACGTCCAGGGGTACCCTGCCACAGCAGGTACAGAGCTGTGCTTTGAGACTGAGGGTCAGCTCAGTTTGATTTTGATACAAAAATAAATGGAATTTGGGATCTAGGCAGGGGGACAAAGCGAAACCCTTGGATACTTTTTTTTCTTGTTTCTTCCCTCCGGTTTTTCTTTTTCCTTGCTGTAAGTCCAACTATGTTTAAATATATGTGAATTTAAATGATCCTTTATTTATGTGATATTTGTGGTGTTAGAATCACTGGCAAACAGATGGTTATTGCTACTCTTAATTATATACATAATTTAGACCAGAAGGCACATCAGAAATGGAAGATAATTAAGATGTTCCCATACTGGCTGAACAGAATCTCAGCATACAACCTTTACTAATCATTTATCCTCCCAAGCAGAACATAAGGATGGAGAATTAACAAGACTAACCTCTTTTTTGGTGTAATTTAATATACATGAAATGACAGTTGAAAGGGCAGCTCAGTAACTTGATAATATAACCCTTTTTGGCCTCAGTCCTGACCAAAAATCCCAGTTATTTCTAACCATAAAACCTAAGTTTCTCTACTCTATGTATAGGCAATCTACTATTTATATGTGATCCTACTGATAAGCAAAAGCCTGAGTTTAAGGATGCTGTTTGTGAAGAGGTTTTCTCAGTCAGTTATCCTCTGCTATAGCTGGACATTTCCATTTCATTTCCAGGAAATAGGTTTTACTGTCATGGACCAGCTGATTATTTGCCAACTGCAGTTAAACAAAATGAGAGTTCTTCCATTTTGCAACTAATAAAAAAAAAGGCTGTGGGTCAACCTAAGAATAGATTTTTCTACAGGCTGTTTGTACTTGTCTTGTTTTGTATCAAGCTGTCCTTCAGAGCAGTGTGGTGTGTTAATTATGGGGGTTGAAATCTGAGTGGCTTGTTGGAGCTGACAATATGAAGAATGTTCCTGGTCCTGCTTCCAAGGCAGCACTCTTGAAGCAGGAGTCAGGAATCCCCTCACCAGGCTTCACACAGCTGCTCTGAGGCTTTTTCCAACCTGGGAGAGTTTGCTAAACATGCACATGGAAGTGGATTAGGAAGAATTTGAGATTGGAAGTGTGATGCCAGAGCTTATTCCCAGCATCTCCATCTGGGCTGCTGCTGAGCACAGTGTGTGGCCCCTGTCCCTGGGCCCAGTGGTTCCTTGCCTCGTGCTCAACTTGGTGATCAGGAGATCGTGGAGGGAGCAGGATAGAATCATGGAATCATTAAGGCTGGAAAACACCTTCAAGATCAGTAAGTCCAACCATCAGCCCAACACTATAGTGACCACTGAATCATGTCCCAGGTGCCACGTCTACACGTGTTTTTTAACCCCTCCAGGGCTGGGGACTCCAGCCCCTCCCTGGGCAGCCTGGGCCAAGGCCTCACCACTCTGCCAGCAGAGAAATTCTGCCCAAGATCCCACTGAAACCTCCCCTGGGGCAACTTCAGCCCATTGCCTCTCGGCCTATCCCGGGTTCCTTGGGAGAAGAGCCCAACCCCCACCTCACTCCAGCCTCCTCTCAGGGAGTTGCAGAGTGCCAGAAGTTCTCCCCTCAGCCTCCTCTTCTCCAGACTAAACACCCCCAGGCCCCTCAGCTGCTCCTCACAATCATGTTCCCCAGCCCCCTCCCCAGCTGCGTTGCCCTTCTCTGGACCCGCTCCAGCCCCTCAAGGTCTTTCTGATCCTGTGGCACCCAGACCTGCCCCCAGTGCTCAAGCTGTGGCCTCCCCAGTGCCCAGTCCAGGGGCAAGATCCCTGACCTGCTCCTGCTGGACACACTATGATCCAGGCCAGGATGCTGGTGGCCTTGGCCACCTGGGCATACTACTGGTTCATCTCCAGCTGACTGCCCACCAGCACCCCCAGGTCCTTTTCTGCTGGACAGTTTCCAGCCACTCCTCCCCAGGCCAAGGAGCACCCTTGTTTTGTGGCAGTTGGGTTGGAGTGCACAGACTGTTTGCTTTAGAGCCAGTCTTATAAGTTCTTGTACCGTTTATCTTGGCAACATCAGAGTTGACATCTGATAATCCTGATTAAAACTGAAACCACAATATATTTTTTTCAGACAGCTTTCCCAAACTTCACCTTAAAAAGGAGGATTCTCACGTTCATGTAAAAAGCCACAATATTATAAAAGAAGCCTTTTTGCAGCTGAACGCAGCAGTTAGAATAAGGAACTTGTTCTGCAGTAGTTTGGGAAGTCTCTGCTGCTGGTTTATGTTAGATTTTAGGAGCACAGCTGTAAGAAATTTTAAAAGACCTAATTTTCTGAGATAATACTGTTTTTCTTAATACGTAGGTGGTTATATAATGAACTTTAAAAATAAATACATCCAATCAATCTGAAGTATAAAAGCAATTTTTGTAACAGCACATTGCCTAATATATTAAAACTTTTCATCAGTGATACTAAGCTTGCTTTAGAATTGAAGCAAAGCTCATCTGTTTAATTAGGTCGGTATGTCTTTGGTAATTGTGCCTGAAGTTGAAGGAAATAGCAAAGTAGTTGTTATATTCAGAAGACTTTGCTCTTAGTGTTGGAAGCCTTGTTCAGGTTGTACATTAATTGTCTAGATGGGTTGATGTGGAACTGTTTGTTCACTTCAGCAGTGCTGTGGTTCTGGAGGAGCAGGGTTGGTGCTGGTGAAGAGGTGGCTGGTTGCAGAAGGTGGTGGTGGCACCAGCCGGCAGAAGGCTGGCGAGGTGATGGAAGTGTCCTCAGAGGGGATCACGTAAACAAACCTTCCAGTTTTTAAGCCAGTCTTCCCTTGAGTCATTAGTCTTCATTACCTCAGGACATACTGCAAAGTTAATCCAGCCTCTGCCTTTCTTGATAGATGAGCTGTAAGATAGAGGCTGATGAGACAAATAAGCCCGTTGTTTAGCCAGCCATCATTTCAAATTGGATTGAGCATGAGGGACATTTTTTAAACCTTAAGGATGAAGGAGAGTGGTGCATCACATAACCTGGAAAGCATGCAGAGAGAAGGAGAGGTTAGGAGTGAGACCAGATGTGCTGGGGAGAGCTGCCACACCCCCCTTTCCTGGTACCTCCACGTCAGGGGTCAGCCTGGCTCTGGAAGATAAGTGTGCCCAAACACAGTGTCCCTAAAATACCAAGTCATGCTGGAACTGAGCATGAGCTCTTGTTTTGAATACAAGGGCTGGAGTTTTATGGCCTCTGATATATTAAAGATCAAACCAGATGCATTTATGGCCTTTGTAGCTTTAATCATTTACCAGTTACACTATGGCTTACATATGAACCATATTTCTTCTCCTGTTGCTTTTGAAACAAAAATGTTAAATAATTCTGCCTTTTTTAGACCAATAATAACAATAATAGTGTCTTCATGTTCTCTTGGTAGCATTTCTAGATCTCCTTCATGTCTGATAACTTAATGTTCCTACTCTTCATTATTCTTGCAGCCATGGAAATTTCTGCACTGGCTTTTTATTTCTCCTTACCTGTTTCTATAGTTAATAGATTCAGACTTCTCAAGTCTTCTAGCTTTTATTTTTCTTATTTGTTTAAAATTGTGGGTTTATATCTAATTTTTGCATTAGTTTTCAGTGAATTAATGGCAGTTCCAGCTGGATTTTGCACAAGATTTCTTTCTTTTGTATGTATACACACACATATACACATCCTGCTGCAAGCTGTGTGATTTTGAACCAACCTGCCAACTTTTCTGTGCTGTTCCTTCCTAATTTTCATATGTCTTCTGTGCTGTAAACTGCAACCCTGTAAAATACCTGAATGAATCCTTGTTTTAAAAAAGGGAAGAACCTACCTGAATTTACAAAACTGAATATAAGATATATCTTAAAATCAAATTGTAAGTCCTGTATTCACTTCCATCATTAAGTTCCTAATAGGGTCAACTGCATGAACTTCCAGACTCTGTGTTTTGTGGTATTTCCAGAGAAATTGCAGATGATAAAAGGTCAGGGAACTGTTAGAGAGCAGAGAGAGTAAGTCGATGGTGTGTAGTGGTTTGGAGCTCTAGGAAAGGTCAGTGCAAGACACTGATATTTTGATGCATCCATGAATGAAAATGAGTCATAACTACAAAATGAGGAATTTTATCCATATATTAATTATAAGTCATATGCCATAATTGAAAGATTACTTCAGGAGGATCCAGCAACTGTGTTTGTGTAACAGGTCAGACTAAATGATCACAGCAGTCCCTTTGGTTTTATAGCTGGTGTTTTTGTCAGTCACCATCTGCAAGTTTTCTAACAGCTGAATTCTCAGTCTTCAAAACTTAATTGGTATTTATTTACCAAAAGAAAATGAACTTAACTTCATCATCCTACTTTTCTGATTTTCTAGATTTTAATAATAAGTGAAGAAGAGCCTCAAAGTGTTGTGAGTAAAGACGAGGATTTCTCCTCCTGCCCAGGGCCTGTCATGGTAAGTAAAAAGGGTTTGTAGGGTCCTTTATGGAGCAGAATAGGCTAAAATCTGGAAAACATTGCAGAATTAGTGTTTACATGTGGCTGTTGAATTTTAAATGCAGTGCCAGACTAAGCTAGGCTAACTTCCTAATACTCTCACAAGTCTTTTCTTAATGACTTTGTAATAATGAAGCTGCAGGAAGGAAACCTGTTTCTAATATCATATTTAGTTGTTTGAGTGCTTGTCTTTGCAACTTCAGTAACCTCAGTAAGTTACTGATAGCTGAATTCTTCAAACACTTCATCCTGTTTGGGCTCTTCACTGGCCATTGATAGCTGGCTGCGGCGAGTGACAGCGCTGAGGTTAACTGTGCCCTTTGTTCCTCAGGATGAAGAGACTCAGCACAGCCTTGAATGCATCCAGGCTAATCAGATTTTTCCCAGGAAGCAGCTGATCCGAGAGGATGAGAACCTTCAGGTAATCACCACACTGCTCCTTGCCAGTTCAGATCACAGTAGCTCTAAGTGACCTGTGTATTCTGGCCACTCCTGTAGAATTTTCCTTGGCGGTTGAACGCAGTAACAGGAGAAGCACATTGTATTTTTAAGTACTCTTGTACTGTTCATAGGACAGAGAACTTGAGCATTTTATCACAAGAGGTTCCTTAAAGTGCCTGAAAAATATAGCCATTATTTGTGTAATAAATTCAAGTGTTAGATTTTTTTTTTTTCTTACTTTAGAACTCTCTGGTTTTAGTTGTTTTTAAATAACGCTAAGCTAGTTAAATACCATCCTTATTTCTTGTTACTGAGAAGCCAAAAGTCTTAGGCTGCACAAAATGGATATTGTTTTTATTTCTGGAAAATTAAGAGTTCCTTTTGAAATCAGTGTAACTCAAATGATTTATCTATGTAGACACTCAGATCAGCTGAAGAGGCGGTTTGCTTCATTTTCATAGAGAATATTTTTAATTGATTTAAGCCAAGTTGGTGTGAAACAATATTATTTTCAAGCTGAGCATTTACAGTTTTCACCCCACTCAGCTAAATTTGGCTTAACTTACATTTTAAATCAAATTAAATTAAAAAATTTAATTAGTAGCAATTTTTATGTGCAATGTTATACAACTGCAGGTTTTCTAACCATATTAAACAGCAGCATGTTGTTCCTTTGCTAATTGCCATGAGAAATATGAAGCAAAAAGTATGATTTGTGACTGGCTTCAGCTGCATAGCACTTGGCTGTCCAGTCTGAGCTGGTTAACCTGAGGTTAGTGAATATTGGGGGTGAGTAGCATAGATTATTCATCTTGTATGATTTGCCTACTTTAGGATCAATTTAATAACATTATGGAAATACCACTCTCCATTAAGTAAGGAGGAAGAGCATAAATCAAGGGGTTGGTCAGACTGCTTGCCAAGATGTGAAGATATTTTGCTCAGATTTTTCATAAAAATTCATTGTTTTCCCTGACCAAGCACTTACTAAGAAAAATTGAGATAAAATGAGGACTCATTTTTTAAAGAAGGCTAAAATTAACCTCTGAACCAGCCTACCTCAGACTGTCCTCCTTAGCAGTAACTGCTAGCCTGAATTCTCAGCAGCATTTCATTCTGATTTTATGATTGTGTGCTTGAGTATATGCTTACAGGAGGTATATGGATTTGGTAAATGGTTTCTGAAAGATTTTTCTTTGTATTCTGCAGGTCCCATTCATTGAACTTCATGGTGAGAGTACAGAGTATGTAGGACGAGCAGAGGATGCCATCATTGCACTTTCAAATTACAGGCTTCACATCAAATTCAAGGAGTCTGTTGTGAATGTAAGTGTTATTCATGCTACTCTGGTAATACAGGTACTCAGAACTCAATCCAAAGGAGAGAATTTAGGGTCAAAGTGTAGGGATCCTGCTTTTTAAGGTTAGTGGTAACAAAAAAACTCTTTATGATGTTCAAATCACATCTTCTGGGAGAACAGATTTTTTCCATCTGTCTAGCCTAAATCTCCCTCTTTCAGTTTAAAACTATCAGGCCTTTTCCTTACACAACAGGCCCAGCTAAAAATTCTTTCCCCAGCTTTCTGACAGGCCTACAGTGCTACAAGGAGGTCTTCCCAGAGCCTTCTCTTCTCCAGGCTGACAAGCCAAACTCTTTCAGCTTGACCTGCCAGAAGAGGGGTTCCAGTCCTCTGACTATGGAGAATGGAAATGGAATCCAGTTGAAAATGGATTCCTGGTCTTTGTGGGTTTTACCTCACTGTTCTTTTTGTTTACAATTCAATAGACTGGCTGTCAAAACGCTGCTTGAGAAAGCTCAGTGAGGAGCACAATGGTGCTGGAGCCCTCCCTGCACCTGTGCTTGGAAACAAATACATGTAAAAGTGGACAATGCTCACACTGCAACACTGCAGAGAACAGCTCTATGCACAAATCTTTTCCATGGGTACTTTCCTAGATCACAGCAGTAACAAGAACATGGTGTTTTAAATGCAAACCCAAAAGATCCAGCAGACCATGCAGGAATTGGAGGGATTATGACATTCAAAAGTGTTGACTTACATTGATCCATGGGATAAAAATGCAGACTCAACAGTGGTCTCTCAGTGCACATGAGAAGTTTGGTTCCCAGGCTGGTCTCTATTGATTGGCTTTCCTTAAGAAAATTTCAAGCTTTGCAGCTGGTGTTTCTGTCTAAGCATTCTTCTCCCTGTAAGCTAATTGCATTTATGGGAGAATTAAAATTTTACTGTAGTTTGTGAAACCATGGACTTGTATGTAGCCTCTTTCAAATGGTAGATTTTGGATGCAGTTTGAAAAAAAAAAAAAAAAGTCATGCTGGTAAGATGAGTCTTGGTGACTAAATGAGTTTAGTAGGAGTTTTCACTTGCTTGGTCTTTGAAGGAAAAGTGGTTGGGATGGTGTCACCCTGCCATGTGTAGCACAGTTGTGGTTCAGCTGTGCTGAACAGTAGCTTAGACCCTGTGCTGTTCTCAGGTCCTGATGCTCAGATTGTTCCCATTGCAAGTGTGTTAATGGTGAAAGCAGAGAGGGGGCTGAATGATTGCCTTCAACACAAAAACTAAGTAATTAGTTGTAATTAAAAGCAAAATCTGCTTCAGGTACTCCTTGTAGTTTATATGAACAAGATTGCACCTGGGGGCATTCGACTCCCTTCACCAAGGAGAGTTCTTGAAGACCTCCTGAGCTGACCTTGCATCCTCCATATGCCATTATACCACAACTCAGGACATGGAGCACAGAGCCTGGGCCTGTGCTGCTTAATGTAACCAGTGCTAATTACAGCTTACATGGTGTCCTGGAGAGACTGGGCCCTGGTGGAGTGTGCAGGGCTGGTGTGGAGCAGCCTGGCCATGCTCTGCTGGGTGCTGCTGGGCCCTGTGCTCCAGGGCTGAGCCGTGGGGTCTGCCAGCAGTGGGAACAACTCCTGCTTTCGCTGTAACTCCAGAGGTAGGTGTCTCTGAACAGATCTTGTACTGCTGTGAGATACCAGACAGCTCCAGTAGGTAAAAGAATTTAAAGTTGTTTTTTTTTAAAACAAGAAAGTTTGAGTTGTAGAACATTGCTATTGTTCAGAATGAGCTAATTTAAGAGAAGAGACAGACACCACAAGAGCATGATGCTCTCGTCTAATGCGATACGATTGGCCTTGGCTAACAATGCCTGTTTATTCTTCTAAAAGCAAAAGGGATTGCTTCTCCCCTGCTTTATTTCAATAGCCATTATTACATGGCAAAGTGCCTGCAAATAGAATTGATGGCTCTTTCAAGAGCAGGCTGACTGTGCTGGGTGTCTGGCTCGCTGCATGCGTCAGCCTGGAAACCCTCACAGCGAAAGGGGAAGGTTATCGGTGGGGAGGAATGGGGAACACAGGCAGATAATTTTACAGGGTTTTACTGAGGGAGGAATAATGGACAGGCAGGAGATTGAAAGTGCAAGAGGAGAAGGGGACAGATTTTTATGACCGGAAAAGAAAATTAAAAAGATTGATATGAAGGTTACCCTGAAGAAAGAGCAGCAGATTCTAAGGAAATAGATGGTGAGGCTGTCAAGAGGAGAAAGAATGGCTGTTGAGCAGAGGGCAGATTGAAAGGGCATACAACAAAGAGTGACTTTGAAAGAAGGAAATTAAAAATAATGCAGGAGTAGAAGAATACTTAATGTGTCATTAGAGTGCAGACAGGAGGAAGAAGAGCCAGAACCAGACTGCTGAGAGGAGGGAGCAAGGTGAAGAGCTCCTTATGTATGAAGATGGGGAAAAAATGCAATAAAGAAAGGCTTGGGGGAAAAAAAAAAGAACAGACAGAACAGGATTTGACTAAAAAAGCAAGTGTTCTAGAATCTTAACTCAGTTATTTGGGGCAAGGTACTTTACTTTCCATCTTGGTGCCATGTAAGTCAATGGTACAGGTGAATAAGGGGATGGGGCGTGGTCTGGGGGCCCTCCCTGTTGGCAAGAGAGGATGGAAGGTTCTCCAGTTTTAGTCCAGTCTAGTCCCATAATTAGCCAGAACTATCACAACAATTTATCTGCCTTGCAGACTAGGACCAAGAAGGAGAGGGCATGGAGGAAACTCCGATGAGCTGTGTCAGTACCTCTGCTCTTGCCTTGATGCATTGCAAAGCTCTGCCACGTTGCTGGCTCAGCCTGTCAGCATCCTGCTGCTGCTTCTTTGCAGGGACTCTGCAGGCAGTTTGAGCAGATGGAGAGGGGACTTATCCCACCAGGAAATCCTTGCTGCCTGTACCCCTTCCTGTTGCTACCTCTGTCATTTATATTAGACTATCACAGATCTGAACAGTAATAGTACTGAAAACATCAGGCAGAATTCAAGTCCCAGCTTTAGTTGAATGCCCAAACCATGTGCCTCTGGGGTCAGACACCATCTTGTCTGTTTTTCTAGCACATGGATTTTCTGTTTAGTGGCCTGGTTACAACAAAAGAACATAGAATAACTTGCCTGTACCAGCCTTGCTGGTCACAAGATGTGAGGGCTAGTACTCCCTCCAGCTGAGGAGGGTCCAGCCCTGCTTCTTGGCTGTGGCTTGGCAAGGGTAAAGGTGGAGTACTGAGACAATACTTGCCCGTTGTGTTTTGGAGATTGTGAACTCTGGGCTGTTATTTGAGTTTTGCATTCAGAAGGGGACTCTGGACTTTGGAGTTGTCAGGGAACCACAAGCTGCAGCTGTGAGCTCTGTGCCTGCCTTCCCAGGAGACAGGAGTGTCAGTCGCTGTCCTGGGCACCACATGTACCATTAGCTTTCTCCAGGCATCCTCAGGCTCAGAGTGAGTTTTCTTGTGGTTTATATTTCTGAGACATCTCTTTCTTTCCCTTGCCTGCTGTTTTTAGTTCCATTTCCTTTTTTCAATCCACTGAAATCGGGTACTTTTTAAGTTTTGTGGTGCCTGGGTAGAGGCTGTCTTTATTCCTCAGCCCAGATCCTTGTTTGGAGGTGACCTTCAAGGACCTGCCCAGAGTCACACGGAGCAGCACTGGCAGAGCAGGGTCTTAAGGCCACATCTTGTAAGCCCCAAACCAGGACTTGAACTGCAGGGTCATACTCCTCTGGCAAAGAAGATAACAGCATCTGAAAGTTTTCTGTCACAGCCTTTCTACTGAAGAATCTCAATGGCAGAGGTTTTGTTGCCTTGTGCAACGTTCAGTATCATCTACTAAACAATTTCAAACACTTTTACACTTTGTGTTTATAGCAGAGATTAGCCAAGTTCTCTGTGTTAGAAATTTAGAGTTATGTATGAGATAGTTGAATACCAAGTTTTATTCATTGAAGATAATAATGTACATTTGCCTGTCTTGGGTAAAGCTCTAAAAATATTAATGAAAACTACTATTTTCATCTTGCAGTTCCTTATCTCTAAAGGCACTTATATGTGGTTGCATGTTCTGCCTGTTCAAGCTTCTAATTTCATGTGCCATAAAACAAAAGTGCAGAGAACTGCACCTTTAAAAATGAATGATTACTCTAAATACAGCTGCTTTGATCACGAGTGTTGAGCTGAACAGGCCAAGTGGCCTTTCCCTGAAGAGGAAATATGGGCTATTTCCACAAACCAAGCATCTAGTCTGCAGCAGTCTCTTCAGGAATATCTTGCTTAGCAGTTTGTTTTTGACACAGAATAAGTTCTGTTCCCAAGATCCCTGAATTTGGGACCTATAAGAGAGGAAGATGCTTCTATGAGAGAGGAGCTTGTGACTTTCTGCTGCTTTTCCTGCCTTGCTGATTGTCAGCAGTGCTGCTGGCTTTTCACATGATCCTGTAAGGCTCTAGGACTACACAGCAATGAAGCTGAAACTCATACGTGATACCATACTTCAGAGCTGTTGAAGTGACTATTAACTATAGTTGGGTTTTTTGTTGTTTTTCTCTCTTTTCAGACTCCACATAGTCCTATAAAAAGTCCTTGCGAGATATGCAGAAAAATTAGTGTTTAGTGCAGTTTGAAATAAAATTATACAACCTTTTTAATTGCAGGTTCCATTGCAGCTGATAGAAAGCGTTGAGTGCCGTGATATATTTCAACTTCACTTGACATGCAAGGACTGCAAGGTTATAAGGTAAGGATAGGCTGGATGTTGGGTGGGGGTAACTTTGCTTTTCACATGCTGTGGAGAGCTGTGACACTTTAAAACAATGGGTTTTTTTACTTAGTGGACTTGATTTCCCTCAAAAGATTTTCTTTTGTCTGATTCTGCATATGGTAGCTGGACATTTTGTCAAGAGGATGGGAGGAAGGTGATCTGAGTTTCTGCTGGCTGTGATGCAGTATACCAGCAGTGCTTGGTCTGAGCCTGTGCAGCTGATCCGGATTTTATTCTGAAATTAATCTTGGACTCGCTGCGCCTTCCCTGCCTTACAATTAATTATAACATATTGCTTCAATTAGTTAGAAGACACAGAAGTAGATAAACCCACTGAAACACTTCCTGGACAAGTGTTTAATCAAGGTTTGGGGTTTGGAGGATGAAGGTATGGGCTTGTGCAGTTCTAGGGAGACCTTCAGGCTGGAGAGAATCAGCCACTCTGTTTTTAACAGCAGTGAGGGTGCACTTGTCCTTAAAACATAGTGACCTGCTGGGAACGAAAGTGAGGAGAGAAGGTAAAGCCTGGTCTGCAACCCAGACAGCATCATGTAGAGGGGGTATTTATTTATATGTGCCCTTCAGCAGACTTCAGTTTGCCCCAGGAGTCTCTGAGTCTGAACTACAGCTTTTTCCTACTATTCTACTGCAGAAATTAATTTTGATCTATAAACTTTAATTAACAAGAAAGGAACATTACTTTTTGATTGAATGTTTGCTGGCAGTACCTTTTTGTATAATGAAATGAGCCCAAGTCATATCTGAGCACTCAGAATGTTTAACAGGCCAGCTGCTTCCTGAAATGCTGTGATTTGATGAGGACTGATTTTACTTTAGAAGTAATATTTAGTTTAATTCGAATTCAATATTTAACTTCCTCTTAACTTGTAGCTCTTGACATTTAAAAAAGTCACTCTTCCTCTCTACATTAATTTATTTCACTTCAATTGTAGAATTGAATACAAATTATTTATATTTATGCCCGTCCTCATGAATTTCCCTTCAAAATTGTGTCTCTGGAAATCAGGATGTGGTGACACTGGCTGTGGGAGGATCATGAAGTATGGGGTTGAGATAGCAGGTTTAGAACATGCTCATGTTCTTTTTCATGAGCAAAGTAGTGTGTGTTTTGAGTAATGGAGCTCAAGTGAAGCTACTACTTATTTGCAGCACTAACATTCGAGGAATTTAGAAAGAAAATGGGGTCTTTAGGGTGAGATGTATCTTGTCTGACTGGATAGTTGATAGAGACTTACCCAGTCGCAGCTGATACTCTCAAGTTACTTTATAATCAGTGGTGGGAAATAAACACCTCCAGGCTGCAGTTCCTCACAGCTATTTAGATACATTTTATGAGTTGGAGATACCTTTTGCCTTCCACTGACTGACTTTGAGATATTTGCAGGTAGAGGAAATAAATCCTGCCCTTAGAGAATAGAGATGCTATCATCAGCCATGAACGCAGTAGAACACAGACTGAGCTGAATGTAAATACTTGGTGAATATTTTATGACTATAAAATCTTGAAGAAATCTGTCAGAGGAAAATGAATCGCTGATCTTATTTCCACTCTTTTATTCTAAAGGGTTCAGGAATCCTCTTTGAAAAGACAAGCTAATGGAATTTTAATACGCTGCTTTGAAGATTAGTTTCTCCCGTGCAGGGAGTAGTCTCGCTAGTTGTTGTTAGTCTGTAATGTTTCAAAACCATTGTTTGTGCTTCCCACCAAGGCCAGAAAGAGAATCTGAGCATATGAGATAGGGGAGCAATGTAAGATTTCAGATACTGGAGTTTGCCCTGGTTATTCTCAAATTAAGTCTGTTAATCAAGTGGCTGTTTCTCCTATGTGTGATTAAGTATGTGTTTTGCTTTACGGGAATGTGCTGCATTGATTATCACTTATGTGATGGTTTTGGGTGTTTCCATCAGATCCCACCAGTCAGCAAGTCCCTGTAACACATTCCTGACTTCGTGTTGAAGCTGCAAACTGAACTGGGTGAAGTTGTCCTTGGTTTTAGAGTAAAAACCTACATGAATGTCTCCCTCACTCATGACTGGTGGGGCAACTGCTGGTTTCTTCACAGTCACAGAACATTGCTTTCTTGCTTAGAGTTCTTTGACATCCTCAGTGTGTATTTTTTTACTAATATCCAAAGGTTTAATTTTTGCTATCCATTAGAATGTACAGAGAAGCAGAACAAAGCTGTCGATTAGATCATCATTCTCACTTTTTCCTTTCACAGATATTTCTGTAGTCCACCTGTCAGATCTTAGAATCTGGCATTTTTTCCTGCGAGTTAATAGAGAACTGTTTGTTTCTGGGCCAGGTGTCAGTTTTCCACTTTTGAGCAGTGTCAGGACTGGCTGAAGCGCCTGAACAACGCCATCCGCCCCCCGTCGAAGATCGAGGACCTCTTCTCCTTCGCCTACCACGCCTGGTGCATGGAGGTGTATGCCAGTGAGAAGGAGCAGCACGGGGATTTGTGTCGGCCAGGTACGTGGAAACACTGGGACCAGCACAAATCCACTGACTGGTAACTGCCTGCTTGCTGGAATCTGCAACTTTAAAAAAGGGTTCTAACAAATTCAGTCTGGGCTGTTGTAAAGTGAACCTGGAAAAATCCAGTATGGACTTTATTTGTGAGTTCTTGCACTTCTTCACTGGCTGTGAATATACTGCGTGTGGTGACTATGTAGGCATAGCAGGCCACCAGCATCCTGGCCTGGATCATAGGGGGTCCAGCAGGAGCAGGGCAGGGATCGTCCCCCTGGACTGGGCACTGGGGACGCCACAGCTTGAGCACTGGGGGCAGGTCGGGGTGCCACAGGATCAGAAAGACCTTGAGGGGCTGGAGCGGGTCCAGAGAAGGGCAACGAAGCTGGGGAGGGGTCTGGGGAACATGATTGTGAGGAGCAGCTGAGGGACCTGGGGGTGTTTAGTCTGGAGAAGAGGAGGCTGAGGGGAGAACTTCTGGCTCTCTGCAACTCCCTGAGAGGAGGCTGGAGTGAGGTGGAGGTTGGTCTCTTCTCCCAAGGAACCAGCAATAGGATGAGAGGCAATGGGCTGAAGTTGCCCCAGGGGAGGTTTCAGTTGGATCTTGGGCAGAATTTCTCTGCTGGCAGAGTGGTGAGGCCTTGGCCCGGACTGCCCAGGGAGGTGCTGGAGTCCCCAGCCCTGGAGGGGTTCAGAAAACATTGATGTGGCACTTTGGGTCACGGTTCAGTGGTCATGGCAGTGTCAGGCTGATGGTTGGACTTGATGGCCTTAGAGGTATTTTCCAACCTTAGTGACCCTGTGATTCTGTAGTACCTTCACTTGAGGTGCAGTGTCGTTTACCACCTGCCACACAGTCTGCCTTGTGCTCTGTCTGAGCAGAGGAGAGATGAGTTCCCACCGTAGCTACCATGGGATCCATGTACAAAGCAATACTTGAATGTCCTGGGGAAATTATCATGGTGGGTTGGATTTATTCAGTTATATAATACTCAACGTTTTATTCACCATGGCAGCAACATGAAAAAGCCCACAAGTAAATAAAAACTAAAAATTGGGATGCTTGTGGTTATACCACTTCTTTGACTATAAGGAAATGTGGGTTCCAGGCCCTCTCCAGTCTGAGGTTCTCTTCACTCACAGTTGACATATCTGAGAAAAGTGTCCCAGTTACCAGTTTGAGGAACTTTGGTGTGATTCTGTCCTTGCTGCTGAAGCTGCTCTGTGGCAGAGGTGCTCCATGGTTCTGGTTCCTAGTCCTGCACTTCACATATCCTCTGTTAGCAGGTATGGAAAAAAGGCAAAAATCCTCAGAGCAGAATTTTACACTCAGGTCTTTTCCCTCCTAACTGAAGTCAGGAACTGGAAAGTAACAGACATGTAGGTGCCTTACTGAGTCTTCTCATAGTCCTGTTCCGTTCCTCACTGAAGCAGATGGGCTTCAACCTAACACTGTGTTAGGATAAGAAGCAGCATTTACCTTTTATTAACTTTGAGAAATTATTTTTTTTTCCTTAGAGTTGTGTCTAGCAAATAATTTTCTTTAATGTGGAAGCTTCCCTGTAGCTTGCTTATTTCTGCTGGGAGATATTCTCCTTCTAAGAGTTGAATTATAGTTGAAATAAATCTGTGGGAATGTAATTGAAGAAGTTAATCCCAAAACATTGTAATTTGTTTTTTTTTACATCCGAGGAGCCAAATATTTGGTAGATATGGGCAAAAATGCTAAGTTGCTTGAAAAACAATCTGTGTAATTATCAAATTCTGAGGAAAAAATGTAAATTGTTAGCAATGTATGCAATGAAATGTGGCTCACACTATCAACTCTGTCAGAAGGCACAAGTCCACAAAACATATAGCTTGCTCTTTTCTCTGATGGTGATATTTGATTGGAATGCTTTGAAAATATCCCTCTTGGCTCAAAATGCCTCTTAAAATACCAGCATTTCAGGAGGAGCTGACAAAATGTAAGGCTAGGGTTTCAGTTCTCGGGGGGAAATCTGGTTTCACAACACACAGAGTAGCTGAATAGTTAAAAGGGAGAAATCAAACAGAATATTTGATTTGCATGTAGGTTTATGTGTTTCTCTTTAAACCCACCAGCAGTATGCAGCATCTGTGGTTGGGAGAATTTCCAGTATTCTCCTTTGCTACCCAGAAAGACCCTGAAAGATGTGTCACAAGTTTGAATGACCATTCCTCAAAGCAGCTCTTAATGAAGTCCCTCTGCAGTGCTGCAAGAACATGCTGCTGTTCCAGTGAAAGGTTGATAGTTTGGGGGTTTTTTAAATAAAGTCACTGCTAAGGAGGAACGTGACAGGGGTTGTTGTCTGGCTGGGATGTATTGTCCCAGCTTCACCTCTGCACTTGACAGAGGATCAGAGGGCTCCTTGCAGAGCTGCCATCGCTGCAGAGCCATCCAGCTTCTGTGAAAGAGGGGCTGGAGTGGCTGGTGGGTTTCAGTCAGTGGCTGGAAGATAAATTCCAGCTCATGCAGAGTTCATGTGAGAAGAGGGAAATTGCTGGCAAGCTCCAGGCTAATTGATCTGGTGATAGGGAAGGTGGAGCAGCACTACAGTGCCTGTGTGATACTGAGGCCAGCCTGCTGCAGAAAGAGCATGGCACAGGAGGCAGAACTGGTCCTTTTTGTGGTACTGCTGTACCAGTGATGTGATGTGAAGGGAATGAGGGATGAAGGTCAGTCAGGTCAGTACATTTTAACGGCCATGTGCCTTGAAGAGTGAATATTCTCCATGCAGTGTCACTCTCACGTTTTACCTTTCAAAAAGTGTAAGAACAACAATCTCTTGCACATTGTCCATATTGTAAAGCATGTGTAGATCTGCAAAGCACCTCAGTGTGTGATCTGACCTGTAGGAATAAGTAACATTAGAGCTTTTCTTTCACAGTCACTTAAGTCCTGTAGTTAGCCTGCTATCTTTATTCTTAGTTTACCTATTTCTTTATATTTATCTCTAATTGTTCTGTAACATCACATTAAAAAATTGTTTTGGGCATATACATTTACATCTGTGAGATAAATGTGTATTTACATGCATCTCAGGTGTTGAAAGACTCAAGGGTTTCCTGAAATATATCATGGAAAGATGTAATACTTAAAACATTAATTTTTCAGCAGATTTTTCCCCCCTTGTTGAATGATGCTCTGCCTTCTGATAGAATGATACAGTAATTTAAAGAGACAAGCAACAGACAGACTTTTAGAATCATTTTATCCAGTGTTGGTCACATGCTCATTAAATTTATCACCTCTCTTAGCTGTGTGAACCTGGAAATTTTTTACATTATTCTCATCTGTGTGTTGATTGAGTATCTTCTAATTCTCTAGACTATCAGAATAACTGTTCTTTATTGCCATTGTGTATTTTTGTGTTGTATTTTGATTCTTTTAAAAAAGTGTCTAGGAAATAAATGGAGCCCATTCCTGTTCCTTTAATGTATTAATCCAGGAATTTATGAGGAACTTGTGACCAATATTTGTGTCAAGCGATGATTGATGCATTTTGTCATCATATGTCCACATGACTCATGGAGGAATAATGTCCAGTTTACAGACAAAGGGCTGAGATGGGGATTAAATCCCAGGGCTTGCCTGCAGTCATACAGGAAACCTGTGGCTGAAGTTGGACCCTAAATGGAGCTTGCCCAAATTCCAGACCATGTTCCACATGTTACACCTTCACCTGTGGTCAGACCAGGGCTTTACCTTCTCATTGATAGAAAATTCTTCTGAACTTCAGAGAAAAAAAGCGACTGGTGTTTTCCCACTGAGCCTGCTGATGGAGCTGAATTGGTTCCCACCTGCAGCATTAGTGGTAGGTGAATTCACAGACAGGAGCTGGTCATTTCAGAGAAAAATCCCTTGATGGACTTTAATGTTTCGGTACAAGCTGTGGTTCTCCTCATAGAGATTTTCAAAATAGGGTTGTGAAATGTGGATGGTGGTTTTGGACTGTTCCTTTCTCTTTCCAGTTATTAATAAGTGTAAGTGAAGTGGTGTTTTCTCTTTAACAGTGTTGAAAGGTAGGAATCTTACTCCTTATTTTGCATTTATTTTTCTCTCTGCTTTTGATACCCAGGAGAACATGTAACTTCAAGGTTTAAAAATGAAGTGGAGCGGATGGGGTTTGATATGAACAATGCCTGGAGGATTTCCAACATCAATGAGAAGTACAAGTAAGTTCTGTGGGCTGCTGATTCACAGCCAAATGGCATCACAAAACACCACTTCTGTTATGGCAGATTACTGGAACTTCTTCCAGGTTCTACAGTTCCTAATGGGAGACAATTACAATAATGATTTTTTTTTGTGTTTTATAGAAAAAAAATCCTGTGCTTTTAAAGTTATTCATGTTTGATTAGCTGCTACAGTTTTGTTAGGCTTGGAAATAGCAGATTTTGATGTGCTTGCTGGAGGATTTCTTAGAGAATGAGATAATGGAAGAAAGTGAAGCCTTAAGTAAGCAGAGTAGAGTTTGAACTTCTAAAAAACTTTTTCTTTATTGTGTCTTATTCTCTAACTTATGACAAAGACTTTTGTTTAAAAAAAAAAAAGAGTTGATTTGGAAGAGTTAAACTGGTAGATCTTAAAAATAAGAGAAAACACTTTCTGTGGTCCTGAAAGCACAGACAGATGTGCTCTTCCATAGCTGCTGGAGCAGAGAAAGGTATTGCTCCACTCCCAGCTGGTGCTGGCTGGTCCCTAATGCAATTCAGAGCAAACCCAGCAGTAACTGTTTGGGATGGAACATAGTTCATTGCTCTGTCTCTGCAGTATAGTGACTTGCAGCTGGTAATTGGCATCTCTGCAAGAAGAATATCTGTCTTGGTACCTAAAAATCTAGGGAA